TTCCCGCGGGCACCCCTTGGTGGGTACCCAACTCCCCCCAGTACCAATGATGGGTACCATCTCCCAGGGCGCGGGCATCCCGCGCTGGGCAGCGGTCTCTGGGTACCGGCTGCGGGCATCCTTTGCCCCGCACCAGTTGCCGGGTACTGACCAGGGACCGGCGGGTCGGGGAGGGGTGTCCGTGTGTCTCGGTGCACCCCCTCCGTGTAGAGCAAGGCTGGGGTGTCGCTCAGCGCAGGAGGGTGCGGGGGTTGTGTCTCCAGGAGGGAGCAGGGGGTGTGCTGCAGCCCCGTGTGGGACAGGGCTGGGGGGCTGGGAGGGGACAGGGATGCCTGTGGGTGTTTATGGGGTGGGTGCATGTACCTGTTCTGCGTGACAAGGGTGCAGGGGGGGTGAAGTGCAGGAGGGGAGGATGGCAGTGCACAGACCAAGTCGGTTTGGAAGGAATTTGCCCATTTGCTTGTAAAGCACAGACTTTACTAGAGTTTTTAAATATGTTTTCAAGTAACCTGGAAAGCTCAGGCAGATGAGGAATGCAGGCTTTACACGTGCTATAAACTTTTTTCCAGTCAATTGCAAAAAGGCTGTCACACTGGTGGGGGGCTCACTTCCCTCCCTTCTTGTTTGCTAGAACCATTTCTGTTGGGCTTCGAAAAGGGGTGAATGTGGTGTTATGAACAAGCTGAAATGAATAAAGTAACATTCGAGACGAACAATACTGGCAGTGCCAGTGAGAGCTTTCCAAAACCCGTAACATTTTCCAGCTGCTCACTCTTAAAACATGAGGCTGGAGCTATAAAACTGCTAGCCACAGGTGGGTGAGAAGGAAAGGGGTTTCTGAGAAGGGGCAAGCCAGAACCACCCTGACCCGAGCAGTCACAGGCAGGTAGTGTCTGTTAGTGGGTAGTAGATCTGCCCCTGTTGGCTACTAGCTCGCTCACGGGGGGGGGTTGCAGTGTGTTTGTAAGCAGATCCTGGATTTATGGATAGACAGTGATTCTAAATTTCCATATGCACGCGCACACATGATCTCCCTTCCCTCCAGCTAAGAAAAGTGCCTGGCCTTTGCTTTTGCGTGGCCCTGTGCACGGATAAATGACTCACTTTTGGAGGAGCGGGGAGCAGCACGGATCCCTTCACATGCTTCGAGCCGGGCAGCCTCTCGCCCGGGCAGAGCCGCTTGTAGCTGGGCAGGATGGCAATGCCGGTTGCTGCCGGGAGTCACGGTGCCCATCCCAGGGGAGCAAGGAGAGCCCTCGGCTGGAGGTGCTGCTCCTGGGGGCAGCCTGGGGGATGTGCTGGGGGTGTGGGGTCGGGGGGTCCCTGCTGGGAGAGAGCAGGGAGAGCCAGGGTGTCGGAGGGAGGCTGAGCCTGCTCACATCTTGCTGCTTCACCG